GTGAGTACCTACTACAATGCCGGGGAGTCGGTGCTGAAGACACAGCAATGAGAAAGACAGAGGTGAGGTGTCCCTCACCTCAAAGAACCATGGGCCCAGTAGAGAGAGTTTGGCAAAATCAACAAGTTAGTAATCAGCATAAATTCAGGGAGCAATAAGTACCCATGCCAGTAAGTCGGGATCTTGTGCCCAAGACCAACTGGTGTGTGTGTGTGGCTGCTTCACTGGGGACAAAAGCATCACGCTTTGTTTTAAAATTAGGTGCTGCGCTGAACACACTGCAGTGGAATCTGTGGCTTCACTGACTATCTCTGAAAACCTGGAGATTCTCGAAGATTAACAATATAAGAGGATCTTATTTACTGGATATCGAAAGCCTAGAATATTGAAATCAGAGGACATTAACAAATGATGTGGTATGGAATATAGAAGTGCTTTGCAAACAGGTATGACGGTGCCAGTTTCTTCTAAATTACTGTCCTCGTTTAACTTTTGCATCATTATAGGGAAATTAAGGCCTGGTAGCATGTGTCCCAGGCCCAAATGTCAATGCTCAAAGGCAAAATCAGGATTGACTGCAGGGTATGTATTCTGACAACACTTTCTTTTCGTACTTTATTTTTTACAGAAAGGACTTTAATAGCTAAGTTATTCATTGACTCAGCTTATATACCTTTTTAAAAAATCTTGATTTTTAGAAAATTTGAAAGGGGATATAAAAGTAATATATATTTTTTTTTGGTAGAAAATTACAATGCATATAAGCACATAAGTAAGGAAATAAAACTTACTCATACCTTTGTTTCATAATTATAGAATTATACCTATAATTATATTTCATTAATACATCCCATTTCATTATTTTTTTTCAAAAAAGAAAAAATGGAAAGCTTATATTTTTCTGCATGCATGCTTATTGTGAACAATTGAAACAGTTCACTATGGGAAAAAAAAAAAGAAGAATAGTCTTTTAACAACGTAAAATGGATTCCATTACTCTTGTGCTGAACATTTTTCCATGTCCTTCCCCACATTTATAAATAATCTAAATACTTTGGCAGAGTGTGTAGGAACCACAAATCTGGTCCTTCCTGTTTCTCACATGTCTGCTTAAGTCCTGCCTCTTTGTTTGCTATATTCCAGCTTCTTGGACTTCTTTCTACTCCTGGAGAATCACATGCCTCAGGACCTTTGCATCTCCTCTTGCCTCTGGCTTAAAAGCTCTTCCCAGAGCTTTTGTAAGACTGGCACCTTTTCTAGTCTTCCTATCTCAGTTGAAAAGTACAACCCTCATCAAAGCCCTCCCCCAAAGGGGCAGCCATGAGGGACCTCCCTTTCACGGAACACCAGTCACTCTCCATCAGGCTTCCTGTTTTGTTTCCTTATCACTATTTGAAATTATCTTGTTTATTTACATCTCTATCTCCAATTATTCTTTCACTGAAATGTAAGTTTCATGAGAACAGATGGTTTGTCCGCTGTGTGCAATCTAACCTCCTCCTTTAGAAGACCGTCTGGGACAAAACAGGGGCTCAATGAATATGTGAATAAAAATAAAAAATAACACCTTTTGCTTAGAAATAATTACTGTAAAGCATATGTGTATCCTTTCAAACTTTTTTCCTTGCACATATAGGTGTTTTTATATCTGTGACTATAAGATGTACCAGTACATAAACATGCCCACAAAACAAAATTATACTTGTACTCTATTTTTTAAATTTAATTTTTAAAATTTTTTATTTTGAAGTAGGGTCTCACTGAGTTGCTAAGTACCTCGTTAAGTTGCTGAGGCTGGCCTTGTATTTACGATCCTCCTGCCTCAGCCTCCCAGCGCTGGGATTACAGGTATGTATCACTATGCCCTGCTCATGCTCCATTTTAAATAACTTAATTTTTTGAATTAACAATATATCATAGGCACATTTCCATGCCAAAAATATATTTCTGTGCGACATTTTCTTAAAGATTAAATGGTATGTTATTATATGACTATATCATAATTTGTTTACTCAATCTCCTATTGATGGACATTTAAGTTCTTTCCGTTTTCTTTGGTTTCGAGTGCTTCCCCAAGTCATGTGTTAAAGCTTAGGTCCCTAGTCTGTGGGGCTAATGGGAGCTACTGGAACCTTTAAGAAGTGGGTTCTAGTTGGAGGAAGGTAGGTCATTGAGGGAGCACCCTTGAAGGGCATATTGGAACCCTGGCCCTCTTCTTGTCTCTCTCTCTCTTTCTGCTTCCCTGTTGCCTTGAGGTGAAGACGCCTCCTCAGCCAAGTGTCTCACCATGATGTACTGTGCCACCTCAGGTCCATAGCAACTGGACCAAGTGACCATCAAGTGAAACTTCTGAAACTATCAGCCCAAATAAACCTTTCCATTGTGAGAGCAATGGAAAGCTGAGTAACACAGCACCTATTATAGTAGGAAATGTATTCAAATTTCCATGAGATAAGTTTCTAGGAGAATCAACAACAGCATATATGTTTGATAATATTTGAAAAATTTTGATATTATATTAGGGTCTGTAAACAAGTCAAGATGGCGCCTGGCATTTTACCAGAGGGAGTGGTTTGTGAAGTAACGCCAGCGAGCCATTAAGTGTGGAGATTCCTTATTGGTTGACTGCTGTATCTAGTTTATGTTAATTAAGATGAGCTGTGTGTAATGTATATATACCCCTCCTGTCCTACAATAAACGGCTCCTACTCCTGCTGTATCAATGTACACAAGTTGTTCGTCACCCCCCAGTTAGTTTGCTGCAGCCGGACTGTGGCAATATTATATCATGCTACTACGTGTAGCAAATGAGGTGCTTATTTCTCCTCACTCTAGCCAACACTGGAAATTTTAATCTTTTAAATATCTGGCATTCTAATACTCAAAAAATATTATATCCATTAGTTTGTTTTCTTTCTTTTCTGTACTTCAACAGCAGTTTCTACTGTTATTGTTTGTTACGTTATTTCCCATTTATGGTTTTTGCCTCTTTTTATATTAGATGATCAATCATCTTTTCCTTTTTGATCTTCTAGTAGCAGCTCATATAGTTAAGTTATTGATTGATTTTTAGTCAGGAATATTTGCTTGAAATATTTATTTTTCTTGGATTGCCTCTTATCTAGATTGTAACTTTGTTTGGCAGTGACTTAAGGTAACTTACTTTGTGTGGTAATATTCCTTAAAATTGCTCATTTGGGGGATTTTAGCATTATGTTTAAGAAAGGTTGTTTTACTTCATAATTCTATAAATATACCCTACATTTTCTGTTGTTACTTTTCTGAATTACATTGTATATACAAAATCTTTAGTGCTTCGTGTTTATTTTGAAGGAAATTTAAATATATAAAAGAAAATTATAAAAATACTAGTGAAATATAGGAGAATGTTATTTTGAGGGAGGAGGAAAACAATTAATACAATCATTATAAACTTCAGAAACTATAAGGAAACATCAATAGAATTGACTATTGAAAATAGAAATATAATCTCCACTGGCTTGATTACATTTTATTAAATAGATGGGCTATCATTTAGTATCCACAGGTGGTTGAAGATATGTTCAGTTGTCAGTGTATTATTATAAATAATACTTCAATGAGCATGTCTGTGCATTAAGCAAGGACTGTCTTTGAATAATCTGTATGTCCTGAAATTTGTGGTGTCACATTTTCATTCAACTAAGTGGGTCATTGCTCAGGTCTAGAAAACTTATTGTTACAAAAACCCTTTCAAAAATAGTGTTTTAAAGAACTAAAGATTTAGAGATTTGTTTGATTTTTTTTTCTTTTTACCACCTGGTGCTTTCTTTGTCCTTCATAGTATGAGGGTTTTGCTGGCAAAATCTAAGATTTTCTAAGTTACTGAGGTTAAAATAAGAATTGCCACCCTGATTCAGAATTTACTCCAGTTGTCCCTAATAGGGAGAAATTCTTTCCTGGGAGTAAACTTGTCCCTGTAAACTCGACCTGACATAATTAAAGATTTGTCTCTGACTTCTCCAAATTTCTGAGTTTTCTTATTGCTCAATAAGAATTTTACTCATAAATTTTGTTAATTTCTTAAAAATATGTGTATCCCCTGAAATAATAAGCTCATGGTTAGGGGTGGGCAGCAAGAGAACAAACTCAAGTCTTCTGAAACAGGCGTTTTGGTGGTGGAAGTGTTGGGGAACCTATTTCTCCTCCTTCTCCTTCTCCTTCTCCTTCTCCTTCTCCTTCTCCTTCTCCTTCTCCTCCACCTCCACGTCCACGTCCACCTCCACCTCCACCTCAAATCAGCTTTTATAGGAACTAAATTGGTTATGAAGACCCAGGAGATTTAGCAACAACTCAGGCAGTGAAAGCAAAGAAATAGATGCATGATAAATGAGGGAATGTTTTCTAAAAATGTGAGATTTATGGGGTTTTATTTGTTTTTTTTTAGGTGAAGAAATATAAAACTTGTTTTCAGAAGTGAAAATATCTGTTCTGATTTACAATCTAAAGGCAGTGTTTTGCTCAGCTACTCTGGGGCAATGTCCACAGAAGCCAGTTCTCATGAAAAGACCACCAAGCATCCAAGATCATCTGGGTGTGCCCTTACCTTTGAAAGGCGGAATGATTCATCTGTGGGTGCTGTGACAAAATTTAAACTATGGTAACTTCTAACTTTTAGGCAGTTACTCAGGACTAGGTCTTCCAATAGCCCATCTCATAAAGCATTTAAAATATGGCTACTGAAAAAATTACTGGTCTTATCCATCTTTAAGAACTGTATTTTCACAAAGCAGAGCCTTCATGCATTCTACTAAAATGCTACATGACAATGACATGGCATCTTAAGTCATTTAGTATTGAACTTCCCAACAGCTTATAGCTGTCTGTAGGAAAAGGGGTGGGGAAAGCCTCCTTCATGAATTTCAGTCTCCCTAAGCAGTCTAGGAGGATTAGTATAAAAGCAATTTCTAGGTTCCAGCTTAGACAGTGATACCACACAAAGCAAAAGTGACCATACTCACTCATTGGGGGTGCCCTTCTGGCCACAAAAGTGGCCCTTGCTGTCTGTAGGATAGGCCACTCTCCTGGGGTCGCCGTGTACCCAGGCTGCAGGAATAAGAAAGAACAGAAATTCTATCAGCAATAGCTGGGCAACGGCAGTCTGCTTTGAGATATTAGATTGCACCACCACAACATGCTAACCTTGCCCCTCAGTCACAAAAGATTATTGATTTTCTTCAAAGAGTAATTTCTTAATGAAAAGTAAAATAAAATATGGATGAATCAGTCAGAAAGCACATTTCTCTTATTCTCTCAGGATTTATCTGGGCTGGAGCCAAAACATGAGGTAATGCACTTAGAAAATGACATTTATTAAAATGTGAACTAGAGGGCACAGTACAAAAGCTTACTTGGCTAGAAAATACTTTTTCCAGGGTTCAAAACTACATGACTTCATAGCAGAGCTAATAATCTAAAGTAAATAATATGATGTAATGCGTTTGGGTTGTACATAAGTGAAAACCACTTTAAAATTTAAAGGAATGAAACTACAATGCCCGGTTCAAATTGACTGGTTCCCTGTGATTTTAAGTGACATTTCAAGGCGAACAGAATCAACAACAGAGGCAACACAGAATAAAGATTTACCATGCATTTTTGTCTAATGACTTCAAAGCTTGATATAAATATGAAGTCTTCTCAAACTTCAAAATTGAGGATTTGATTCTAGTTTTTATGATGTTACTGAATTCTACCTTCATAAAAACTCATCACCATTTTTTTTAAGAATCATTGACTTGATTTAGCTCTAGATTTTATCACCACAGAAAGTAATATCCATCAGCTAAACAGGGTAATAGTCCCTAGTTCTAACTAAAATTTTCTAACTTCTCCAGTTTGATTAATACCCTTTTTAAAATTCTAGGAAATCCATTGGTCATATAATGCTTGCTTCTGCGGTGGAAAACACATCTTTGTCCTTTGCTTCCTTTAACATTTGCCCAGCTATCTCTTTACCCACATTTATTGGATTTGACAGTTCACGTTATAATTCAATCATACTTATGTATGTGGCCTGTGTGACTTGGGAAGATAAAAAAAATCAATTCTGAATTTTAATATGGAAGAGGAATTTTTCTCCCTATTTTTTTTCTCATCAGTCCAAGGCTTTCTGTTCAGTATCTAAATACTCAGAAAAGTCTCCTTTGTCTAATTCTTTCTCCAATGTCATAGAGGCCAAATCAGTTTCATCTTCTAATACCTTCTTATGAAATCTGACTCATTCGGGTGGCTCTCTGCTGTCATATCTTCCCATCATTATTTCCCAGAATAAAGAAACTGGACTATAAATATGGCATTTAAATGACATCTATGTGTTCAAAGCACAATGTCTCCAGACACTATTTTATTATAGTCTGTTTCTATATTTTAGTTTGTCACATTTTGGCTAAACCTAAGACAGTGATGTAATTTTATCTCTCCTTTTTATAATGTGTTTCTTTTAGCTTTATCCTAAAATGTTCTATTCATTCTGAAGAATTATTAATTCAGAAACAGGCACCTAAAGCAGCATTTAGATGACTAAGTTTGCTACTTATTATCTATAACCCTGAACAAATCACTTATTTGGAGTCTTGGCTTTCAAAGTTATTTGAAAAATGGATATAAAATATCATTCAATAAGAATGTTGAGAATATGAAAGAAGAAAATGGAAGTAGAATACCTAACATGGAGCTCAGCATCCCACATAGACTCAGTTAATATCAGTTCTTGTCTTTTGGATTTCCTCATAAACAAAATCATAAAGAAGGACTTTGATTACAGGTAGTTTATTTGGAGGTAATTCCAAGAAGCTTAAAAAGTCACAAAGGAAGGCATTCAGCCAATAAAGGGCATGCTAATGGGTCACTATAGTGGCCAGCTATGGCTCTGTGCCTCTGGAAACCGTGACACTGTATGGAAACTACCTTTGAAGGGTCATAGTAAAGCTGTCCACCATAATTGAAGACAAACCTCTAAGTCAAGGGGAAGGGGGGCCTGATATCTGCAATCCTCTGCCATAGTTTTCTTTCACTTTTCCATGACCAATCAATTCAAGAATTTTCTAAATGATCATCATGTATACTCTATCAGAAGTCAGTATCTGCATAAGTTTATGTCAGAGTTCATAAGAAAGGCATGGAAAGAGGAGAATAAAGTTTGTAGGTTTCCAGAAGAAGGGGAGCTTGAGAAAGACTGAAAAAGGTTAGGATTTGGACATGTAGCTGGGAGTGGGAAAAAAAGTGAGGAAATCATGGAATAGTGAGAGCTTGAACTTATTCATTATGCATGGTGTGCCAGGGCTATGCCGTGTTTGTTACACTGTCTCCTTGGACTCACATTATGAGTCTCACAACCACCCTAGAGGTGGATATTATTTTTACCTAAATTTTACAGATAATTGTGATTCAGTTTATTTATCAAAATTCCATGGTTTTTAAGGAATATAAACACGGCATAAACTTTGGTGTCTTATTTTCTAAGGCTCAGAGTTTTAACCACAAGACTACAGTGGTAACTCTGCTGCCTACTAAAGGACAGTTTGGGTATGAGCTTGTTAATGTAAGGAACCAGGATGTCAGCAAAATGCTGGATACATAACATAGGAAAGGAGAGGACACAGGCAGTTTTGGAAACTTTGTCCTTGTGGGAGGAGAGCTTTGTTCTTGTATAGAGAGAATGGTGTTTCGGCAGAGATCTGGGGACAGAGGAGGAGAGGAGATAGAAATGTCAAGGGAAAAATTCTCCTTGACTTTCCGGTTTTGAATTGTGACAGGTGGTCATATTTACTGAACTGCTTCTACCCCCTCTCCACACAGCCTCTGGCATGGAAGCTGTGCTACAGATGGTGTGTGTTTGATCTGGTACATCAAGACTTTGAGCTGAGAGTTGCAAAAAAGATGAGGAAAAAGAGATGAACCAGCAGCAATTATTTTGCCCCTGTTCACGAAGTAAGGGGCTTCTCGCAGTTTATTCCCTTTCTTGGAATTTCTTTATTCATGGAACATTTAGAATGGTGCTATCCAAAATGGTAGCTACTAGCCCCTAGTCTAAGGAGCAAAATATATGCCATATTTTAAAAGATAGTATGAACAACAATTAAAAGAATATCTAGATATTTTTTATATTGATTTAATTTGAAATCATATTTATTAAAACATTATTAATTATTAAGAAAATTAATTTCACCTATTTCTTTTATACTCTTCCTTCCTTCTTATTTATTTTCCTTTCTTGTGGTGCTGGGATGATTAAATCGAAAACCTTGCACATGCTAGGCAAGGGCTCTACTACTAAACTATAGCCCCAGCTCCCCTTCCCCCCTTTTTTTGTATTGGGGATTGAACTCAGAGACACTCAACCACTGAGCCACATCCCCAGCTCTATTTGTATTTTATTTAGAGACAGGGTCTCACTGATTTGTTTAGCTCCTTGCTATTGCTGAGGCTAGCCTTGAATCCATGATTCTACTGTCTCAGCCTCCTGAGCCGCTGGGATTATAGGTGTGCATCACCGCCCGGCAATCCCAGCCCTTTTTATAGTTTATTTTGAGATAGGGTCTAAATTGCCAAGGCTGGTCTTGAACTTGAAACCCTCTTGGCTCAGACTCCTAAGTAGTTGGGATTAAGCATGTATCACCTGGTTTGTCTCACCTGTTTCTCACCTGTTTTTTACACCCTTAAATGTGGCCAGTAGAAAATTTAACATTACACATAGTAATCACAGATCTATCCTGTATAGATCTGTTCTAGAACATTCTCCACAAATGTCAAAAACTTCTTATGTGAGGTGCCATAATATCATTGATCTGTGTGGCTGTCATACTCAAGACCATAATGCCCAACACAACATTTTCATAGCATATTTTACAATGCCCCTTTTACAATATTGAAATAATAGTCCCTGATAATATAATATGCACAGATAATTTTAAAAAATTCAATACAATTCCCTTATTGTAATATAAATGAGAAATAAGAACCAATTTTTTTTTATAATTAAACAGTATGCACATCAGTATGCAAAAGCTCCAGTGTGACCAAACTAGAAGACAGTGAAGGTGTCAGGTGTTTACACCTACAGGTAGAATCACTGTAAATAGAACAGCTACAGTTGCAGGAGGAGGTAGACATATTATAATGAAAAATCAAATAGTACAAATGGTTCTGTAAATGATATGATTTTCCTAAATGTAGTAAATTCTAACAAAAAAGCAGAATCTTCTTTCACATTTCCTTGATATCTATTAAGATCCTGCAAAAATCTTTTGTAAGTTTAAAACAGAAGTTCTATGTTCAAATATTTAAAAACAAGTCCTACATCAGTGGGACATAGGAAAGTCATGCAGGAATTACAGTCAGTCTTGCTCTACAGAACTGTCATAAATATTGCAAGACATCTATCTTCCCTTGGTGCATCCAATGTCCTGAAAATCAAAGAATCAACTCCAATTTTTTAAGACTCCCTGGGCAGTGCTGAGAGAGCCAATGGATAGATGTATTTTCCCACTCTTCAAAATGTCAACAAATACAGATTCCACATTGTCTTTCTTTTCTCCCAGAAAAAAAAAAAAGTGATATTATCATGGAGTTCTCTCTTACCATCAATCCCATTTACTTTGATTCAGCTGATCATGTAGTAGTAGCTTTTAAATATGCTTGTATATTATTTGACATTTCTCCTACAAAAGGTGATACTTAATTACTCACGCTTTGAATGTGAACCAGATTTGACAACTTTTTTCTAGTAAACCGGATGTGGCAGAAGTGATATTGTATGGCTTCTAAGAGTAGGCAATAAAAGACATTGCAGCTTCCTCTCTGCTCTCTCCTTCTCCCGCTTCCTCTCTCTCAGATAACCAGCTCTAGGGGAAGCCACGTGTCATAAAGACTCTCAGAGGCAGTAGCACAGAAAAGGCCACGTGATTGTCAGCCATCAGCAAGAACTGAAGCCTCCTGCCAACATCCGCTCTGAAGACAGACCCTCCACCTTAGCCATGCCTTCAGTCAGTTGCACCTGGGCTGGCAACTTGACTGCCACTTCATGACAAACCACCTCCCTAAGC